GGTTTGTCCGATGTATGTGGTGGGACAAGTGGTGCATGGGATTTCGTATACTCCTTGATTTTCTAATTCAATTTTATCTTTGGGGTTTCTAAGGATGGTGGATATTTTTCTGTTTGTGCAGAATGCTGTTTTGATGTTGTGTTTATGGAGGATCTTACTGATTCTGTCTGTGGTGCCTTTTATGTATGGGAGGAGGGCTTTGCCGTTTTCTTGTTCTTTGTCTTGAATTTTAGTGGGGGTTTCTTTTTGGATTAGGTTTGTAATCTTATTTCTATGGAATCCATTGGATGTTAGTACATTGGTGAGAGTGTGTAGTTCGAGTTTTAGGTGTTTAGGTTTAGGTGTTTTTAGCCATCGAGATAGAAAAACGCCCACACAGCATGAACAAGCGAGATGATACCTCCCGCCTACCAGCCATTTGGAAACCCGCCCTTATTGACAAACGACTCCCTAACACAAAAAATGATACCAGACCCACACTCACAAAAACCACACAGGAGGTCACCACCACACATCCACGCAAAAAACAAACCCAAAGCCACACTGATGACGAGGCACGACCACAAACCAGAAGCCAGACCACAGCTGCATCATTAGCCACTTTAAACCCCTCCAATCCATACATGAAGCAAACTGACACCCTCCATGAAGAAGAAGCACGACCACGAACGCGAAGCCAAAAAATAAGAAGGCAGCCCAAAATCTCAAACCCCTCTGCAACTCAGACTAACCTGAGCACAACCAAACAGAACACTCCCCCAGCCAATCAGAGCACAGCCAAGCCCCTAACCATTCAGAACACACCTCCACCCAATCAGAACACAGCCAAGCTCCCACCCAATCAGTTCATACCCCCACTGGCAGTTAAAAGGAAGAAACAGCTAAGACCACACATTGCTGCTCAAAGCACAAAGCTGAAAACACCAGCCTGAAGATGACGAATGGGACTTCGTCGAAACGTCGCCAAGACACTTCCAATTTTACGCGGGAGAAAACCCGAACAACCAAAGACCTACACACACAACACACACACACACACACACACACACACACACACACACACACACACACACACATATATATATATATATATATATATATATATATATATATATATGCGCTAAAAACAAAAAGGTGATTCCTGGGTAGACTCATGTTTAACTAGCAAAAATGCAAGAACACCAGGAAATATAAAACTATAAAAGTTTTAATAAGTTAAAATACCAAGCTTTCGCCGGCAACTGCCAGCATCGTCAGGGTAGCTTCCAGTCGATGGGAGAGGCTATTTATGGATATGGCGTTCTTTGCACCCGGCTCCTGGACGTCGTTACAGGTCCCAGCCCATCCACTTGCACTCTGATCATAGTTTCCGTGTTGCTGATCGTTATTTTCTTGCTTTTCTTGTTTGTATCTATGTTCCCACCCCCATCCTCATGTGGCCGTGGATTGGGGGAGCCTGTACATTTTCGTTGTTTGTTTTTCTCCTCCTCCTTCCTGATACTCCCCCTCCTCGTTCTCCTCCCACCTTCCCTCTTTCCATAGTCCTTTTTCACAGTTGCCACCTCATTGCTTTCTTCTATATCACAAGATTTCATTGCAGTTATCTTGATAACTGAAGAGTGAAATAATTGCAATGAAATCTTGTGACGTAGGAGAAAGCAATGAGGTGGCAACTGTGAAAAAGGACTATGGAAAGAGGGAAGGTGGGAGGAGAACGAGGAGGGGGAGTATCAGGAAGGAGGGGGGTGGGGACATAGATACAAACAAGGAAAGCAAGAAAATAACGATCAGCAACATGGAAACTACAATCAGAGTGCAAGTGGATGGGCTGGGACCTGTAACGAGGTCCAGGAGCCGGGTGCAAAGAATGCCATATTCATAAATAGCCTCTCCCATCGACTGGAAGCTACCCTGACGATGCTGGCAGTTGCCGGCGAAAGCTTGGTATTTTAACTTATTAAAACTTTTTATAGTTTTATATTTCCTGGTGTTCTTGCATTTTTGCTAGTTAAACATATATGGCCTATTTTAATGTTGGATTTTTATTGCTTTTAATCCTCATTCCTCAGAAGCTACAACTGGTCCAGAATACAGTGATGTAAGCAGCAATGGGTGAGCCACAGCATGCTCATAGGCTCCCAATGCTTTATGAACCATACTGGTTCCTGGCTGGCTTCCTTGTACAATTCAAAATGTTCCTATAAGCCTTCATGGCATAGGGCCTAGTTATTTGAAGGACCATCTGTCTCCAATAGTCTCTACCTGTCCAGTAACATTGGACAGAATGGGTGTGCTCCAGGTGCCTTTGATTAAACAGGGTCATCTATCAGCTACCTTCTCTATTGCAGCACCTGCCTTCTGAAACAGCTTCCCCCAGAGATCCATATGGTTGTCCCCCTGCTGATAATTCTGAATGTCCTTGAAAACCTGGCTGTTCACCTAGGTCTTGAGGCAGAATGGTTACTGAGCCCATGTTGGTTATTTTTTTTGTTTGCTTGTATGTTTTTTTCTGGACAGATATGATTCTTTTTCTAATTTTTTAAGCTTTTTTAAAGTTCAAAGCTGTCTATAATCATCTGGAGTCTAAATTTAAATTGTAATAGAATAAATTAATAAAAAGAGGAACACTAGAGTAGAACAGTGTTTCCTCCTGTCTATTTTCTTCTCCTTTTATCAACCTGGTCTAAAAACCAGATCACTAGTCATATTCTCGAACTGCTGCAATCCCAAGAATGTGTAAACTTAGTCTGATCATGCCCCTAGGAGCCAGAAAGGCCTTTTGGGGAGAAAGTGCATATGTGTGTGTGGCGGCGGGGGGGGAATGCCCAAATGTTCCCAGATATCCATTTGTATTTTGCTGAAGCCTGAATGCATGCTGATCAAAAGTACATGCATTTTAAACCTAGTTCCAACAGCACCTCTCTCTTACTTGAGAAAACTGCCCTATGTGTTATCAAAATATCTGGAAACAAGCATTTGCCTCAAAGGCTACACATTCTGTAAGCACTCAAAATTCTTCTAATCCTACTACCTTGTCTCAATGATTTTAACAAAAAGAGGGGATTTGTTGTCCTTCGTATTTTCCCAGAAGCAAATAATACTTAAATCAATTTAATCAGAAACAGGCTATTTAGAAAACAATCACAAAGATTAAAACTAAAGCTAGGAAACCACTTTTCAAATTAGAGTGAAGAGATTGAAGTTTAAAAATTACATCATCAACAAACACAGCAACCCACCCACACCAAATACAAATATATTTCACCCTGATTCTCAGTACATCATCTTTTTATCATAGTGCAAAGCACATTCTATTTGCAATACACTGAAATGAGATTGGCCATAAATCCTTCACAAATTGGATTATAGCTAATGGGTCTTCCCATTATTTGTCAATGCACTTTTGCTATGCTAGAGTTTCACTGATACAAAAGGATCATGACAGGGAATGGAGATGGGCAGAGGAGTTCTGCCATTCATTTTTCTCCCCATGAAGAAATCTATCTAGCTTTTATCTTCTTTTCCAGAAAAAAAAGCCCAAAGGCTAAAGGAGTTTATTTCTCTTGGGTGCAGATGTCAACACTCAGAAAGAAGTTATTTTGGAAGGCGACAGGTCCTGTTCCATCCATTTCCATCAACATTAATTTCCCCATTGCCCTGTACCTCCAATCATAAGAGCTGGCCTTCATTTAACTGAAACATAAGTTTTCCCTTGGAGGGACTGATTTCCCTGCTATATTCATGAACATCTGAACTAACGAATACATATATGGAAAATAATGTTCATATAAAGCTCTGTCTTTTATTTATTAATCAAATTTATGTAGCTGCCCATCTTACCAAGGGCAACTGGGCAGGACACAACAATAAATAAAACAACTAATATAAACAGATTAAAAATCTAAATATAAATCACAGCAGTAAATAATATTAAAAACAAAAATACTAACCCTGGGTGGAGGGAGGATAGACATGGCCCCCTCAGGTGTGGCGCTATCAAGACAAATTTCTGGTTCCCTGGGAACCCCCAGGCCTCGTAGGAAAAGCAGGTCTTGATTTGAAAAATCAAAAGGGGAGGCAATCTAATTTCAGGGGGAAGGATGTTTTGTAAGAAACATAGCAGAGAAGGCACATCTCCTGGGATCTATCAGGTACAGATCCGTAGCCAATGGTATTTGCAGCATGCCTTCTCCTGAGATCTAATGGGACTGCCTGATGTAACTGGGGAGAGACGGTCTCTGTCTCACCTTTTCTGCATTCATTTTTTAGTTTAAGTTTAGTTTACTTTAACATTAACAACAAAACGTATGTCGGGCAGCCTTTCCCAATCAGGTGCTCTCAGATGGGCTGAAATTACTGCACTCAGAATTCCCACTCAGTCAGCCACAGAGTTATAGTAATGAAGATCAGATAAATTAGTTAAATTCTTCACATTTAACTAAGGCTTGGAGAGTATTGGCAGAAGACAATGAGATAATAAGCAGTAGCATACTAAAACATTTATTCCTGCAACACGCTCAACTCCTTAAAAGGGTATTGTGAGACTGCTGGCTATCCTAATCAGCACTAACAAATTCCAATCCTAGAGATACGTAAAAAGCAGTAAATAAAATTCTAGACCACCCCAGCCTAGTCTAACATAAAACAGCCATTTTTGCAAAACTCATCATCTGCAATTATCAAAACGTAAGAAGGCATCATTGCTAACATTCATTTTTGACTGGTCTTAGACTGTAAGACTAATGAAAACACTATTCTCCATTCACACTCAAAACAGGTAGTCAGCAGGTGAAAATTTATGTCCCCAAAGAATCCATGGGGTTCAAGATATACAAAATGTATTAGCAGATGTTCACTCCAGTACATAAAATGTAGTTTCTACTCATTCCTTTTCCCTATTCAGGAGCAAGAAAAGAGTACATCTTAATACCAGTCAAGTCATTGGTTCTGCATGCCTAGAGCCTGCTGGAGAAAACTTACAACTATGGCAAAGGCACTACCTGGTAAAGGTCACCTTCTTGCTCCTGGATGTCTTTGTTAGGCAAACTGTGGTGTCGTTCATATCCAGTTCTGCAGACACCATTGGGTTGCCTGGCTAGGTCCAGATGGTGATCACTAGTGGATGGAGTAATTCCTTGAGTGGACGGTGAATGGCCTTTGCGGGAGACTGTTTCCTTTCGATGATGGATCAACTTTCTGATAACATAACAAAGAATCACACTGAGAAGGTAGGTTTCAGGAATGTCCAACGTATCAGCGATACGATGAACTGAAATTTGTATACATAATGAGCATCTTTTTTTTAAATTCAAGGAATAAATCAAGCTTTTTCCTTTACCTATATGAAGTAAGGTATAGGGAACTAAAAAGCTCCTTATTGCCCTATGAGGAAATTCAATTACAAAGGATTAATGCAACAGAGATGGAAACAATCTGGTGTTTTTTTTCAAACGTTACTGGATTCAGACTCAATCAACATGCCTAATAGTCAGGATTGATGAAGACTTTAAAAGCATTTATAGATCACAGATGCTTTTAGCTTTAGAGAACCACTTTTAATTTAGATTACAGAGCATCTAGCTCCACTGTAAGTCATCATGTTCTCAGTTAAGAGGATTTTTGAATTAGTGATATCATAATTTAGTCACCTGAGAAGTTTATTTACAGCAAATGTGATTCTTGAAAAACTTCACATTCTTCTGCTGTATTAATGAATCCTCTGTATGTTGAGTTTTCCTGCACTTCATTTTTTTTTCCTTTTCTTCCATACCTAGCTTTTAATCTCATTTATCTCTAACTTTCTTTGGTTGTATTTCCAGCGTATTACTGCTTTCTCTCTTAAATTCATTCATTCATTCATTCATTCATTCATCTTGATCTTCAATCATTCTCTTCTGCTTTTCCACTCTTTCAAATTATGCTGTGCCTTCACAAACCTTAATACTGGTCTGCAAATCAATATTCAATTCTTTGGAAACAAAGGCACTCCAGGGGGGAAACCAGATGTTAAAAAATAGAATCATCACCATACTATGTGACCTCAATAAAGTGCTACATGGAGAAAAGATGAATGGAAGAAAGAGAGCCAGCTCAGTATCTCTTATAATACCTAACATAGTTCTAATTATGACAATATAAGGTTTAATTGCATTTTCTCTCAGATAACCGTATTTTCATACTGTGATGAATGTCTTGTTTGTTTTACTTACTGAAGAACATCCCTCTGTTCCAAGTTGTATTTTCCTCCATTCTTCATTGCCTCGTTATGAATGGCTTCAATAGCTCTGTCAATAGATTGCAGAACCACATCTTGTTCTAGCACCTAAGGAACACAACATATGTCACATTAAGCATATTCATCTTCCCATCAAGGTTTATAAATAACAATATGGGATTGTCAAATATAGCAATCTTAAATCTGTCGCATAGGTAGCCTCTGAAATAAGCCCAATCTTTTTGTAGTTATAACCCACAGTATTCATTTATAACAAAATCCATTTCCATTTACTACTTGATAAAGGTATTTGTTAGAAATTCTTTTGAAATAAACCGAATGAACCGGGTGGTTTTTTTTTTTCAGTATACAAAATGGATTTTGTCTGTGTAAGATTTATTGGTAGAATAGAAAAAACATTTGTTCTGACAGCAGTGGAATATATATCACAGTACTACTCACGCATCCTAGGCCCCGGAGTCCCTGCATTTCATTACATGAAGATCAATACCAAAACTTCAGAGCAGCTCTGCAGATCAATTTCACATTCAAATTGCCTCTTCTACATTCATTGTAAGCTAGGTGATAATTTTACATTTACCTTTTTTTGCCATCACTGCTCACTTTTGGAAAAGCCAAAGGGCTAAATTCCCTCCATATCCAGCCAAGATAGAAATCTAGTGGCTAGAATTGTACATACTGTATATACTTTCAGTACTGGAGAGCGTAATAACTATTCTCCAAAGCAAGCCATTTAGCTAATGTAATATGTTTATGCAACACATTTTGAACTAAATTATTATTTACATTTCAAAGTTATACTGAACCAATAAACAGTAATTATTCTTTATCTTGCCCTTAAGTAACATTGCAAATCTTAATCACTGAACTTTCTAAGGTCACCCAGCCATGGCCTATCATCAGCCTTTCCCACTTTGGTTTCACACAGATATATTCAATGCACACAATTTCTAGATAGTAGGGTGTCACATGTTCCGACTAATGAAGCACTTCAAAGAACTTTCAGGCATGTTTCCTAAAGTCTTTATTTGCAGAGCTACAATTTTTGCCGGTCACCATGTTGGACTGGTTAATGCCAGAATCTGAACTTCCTGTCGCTGGCATCAAGCTTTCCTTGCTCAACCCCTCCCTTCTCATGCAGTCACAGGTCACATTATCCAATTAGTGAGAAGGTCAAACGTTTACTTCCTCTTTCTTTCCCGGGCTTTTTCCCCCGCTCAGTCTAAGCTAAGTATTAACCCAATAAATGCCAGACAGTTTTGCATATTGTCAAAGCAAGAATACACAGTATTTGCAGCATTGACATAGGGTTTTATGAGAGTTACAGTTCAATACAGCTTGAACTGAATTAATGACAGTCCTGTACAAATTCTTAGGCTAACTGTAAATGTAACTGCTTTGAACTTGAAGATAAGGTTGAAAGGAAACAATGAACAGTAAACAATATTTGGAAAGCAGTATGCAGTATTGATGTAACATTATTTCTCTTGCTTGAAAAAAATTATCTAAAACAACTTTCATGGAAAATATACAAAAATATTGATTGATATGCTATTTTTATCTAAAAAAACTTCTCATGCTGCTTATAATTCATCTTTCAACACCATTATGAGATACCATAATTGTTCCATGAAGACCAAGATCAAATTATAGGCACCATTCTCCAGAACAATACAGCAATAGCACTTAGACTTATATACACTTCACGGTGCTTTACAGCCCTCTCTAAGCGATTTACGGAGTCAGCATATTGCCTCTAATAATCTGGCTCCTCATTTTACTGACCTCGGAAGAATGGAAGGCTGAGTCAACCTTGAGCCGGTCAGGATCCAAGGAATCAAACTCCTGGCAATGCGAGCAGAGTTAGCCTGCAATACTGCATTCTAACCACTGTGCTAACACGGCTCTATGTAAGTATATGTATGTATGTTTATCAGCTAAAATGACCAATTAAGATATTCAAAATATCTATCTTAATCTTTATCTCATGTAGGTTTCCCTTGGTTCTCCTACAATCTCTCCTGCTGTAATTCATTCATTAAATATTTCATTCATTCATTAAATTTCCCTGAGCTGCATTTCTGTGACACATTGCAAAATAATATGCCACACAATACTTCCAAAGCTATTATTATCACATTAACACAATGCATCTTTTTAAAAGATATTATTTTTTCTCTTAAAATTTAATTAACATTAGACAACCCTGTGACCTGTTGGGTCATATTTTGATAGAAAAGTAGTACATTCTAATATGACCAGAACCTTCTATCTCTATATTATTAAATTCTCATTGTGTTTATCTGTTTATACCCTCAAGTTAATCCAAACGGTGCATTATACGTCAATAATTTTTTAATCAAAATACCTAAAATCCATCTTAAAAAATGTATAAATATGTGGGACCCATCATTCTAGTGGCAATGAAATTTTTATAACATTGTATTTGCAAAATTGTGGCAGATGCAGTGTTCCTGTATTCCCATTATCATGATTTCCAATGCTCACTGCAGCCTCCTACAAGCAAAGTCAATGGGAAAGCCAGCAGGAAGTCAGAAGTTGCTCCCACTCCCACTGCTTTTTTGCCTGCCCATGGTTGTTCTGTTGATCTTAGGTAAGTAAATATTATCCTATTATTAATGTTCATTTGCCACTACAATTATTTTTCTATTTATGATATATACTCTTCTTAGATGATCACAGGATCATCCAGCATCAAGGTAAAAACAGTAGATCAGCCTAAAATTTATTGTTCATTCTGGTCACATTAGACGGCACTACCTTTCTCTCAAATGATGACCCAAAGGGTCATAGGATTATCTAGTCCAATTTAATACTGGAGTACTGGAAATTGCAAAGGTAGTCACTGGTTGATAATATGAGTTGACATGATGTCATGGTTCCGATGCTAAGACCAACAAAGTCAGAACTCCAAGGCTAGAGGTTTCCTCAAAGAACATGTTTATTGGTCACAAAATATCAGCACGGTCAAAAGTGAAACCAAGTCTGAAATTCCCTGCAAAGAGTTACACTATTACAAAGTCAAACCTCTCAGCCCGGTGCGATGCAAAATGCTATGTTCCCAACAGTATGATTTGGCAGGCTTTCTAACAAAATGCCCAGCCCTCCAAGCTAACTGATAGAATGACCTTGGTTCCCATGGGAGCCAGAATTATTTAGACTAGCAAAAATACTCCGCATCCCCTCCCTTTCTTGTGGCAATCTAGAATGAGCAGAATGGCTTCAGCCAGGTTTGTTGTAGAGTTGACACGTGACTTTCACTGAATTTGGAGAGACCTTATTCAAGTGCACTTATTATACATTAGTTATGTTTTTTATAGGCCAGCATAGGTGAAATTGCAAAATTTTGAACTTCCCTAACAAAATATAGTAAGAGGAAACAAAATTCTTTTGTCCCTAAATCTCCACATTTAGATTTTTGCTTTAGACTATCACCAAGAAGATGAGGTTCATTTTCTGCCATGTAGGAGAGTTTATCTTTATAATATGGATATCTTTTCAGTAAAACCCAAAGAATGTATATTCAAGCATTCAAGGTACTCCTCAATGTTTCTGAAGAAGCTATCTTCATCCTTTCTAAATCAAATCCTCCTTCCGCTTGCAGTCATTGCTCACAGCCTTCAGACTACAGATGATTCAGATTTTGATACTGTTCAGGAAAATGGTGTATTTTCTTGAAGGGAAGATTCCCCCCTCCCCATTACCTTTTAAATGGGAAAAAAATTGTCCCAGATTTGCTGTCACAATATAGTAAGGGAGGTAGGGGCAACTCAACCTAAATTAGGGCTGTCTTGCTTCAATACACATATGCTATTTAGCAATAGCAAATTTTTTTCTACAACCCAGCCCCCAACCATTTTTCTCTTTTCTATTCCCTCCTTCCTGTCAATACATATAAAAAAATTACTCCTGCAGAGTACTTCTCTAAATGTCATTCTTCAAAACACCATGGTTGTTTAAATGCCAGTCACATAAAACAACTTGTTCAGCAGTCTAGAATAATCATATCTTTCAGAAAAGCATTCTTCTAGACAAATGGGATCTTATGGGCTGTGCTGACAGAACCAAAGATGGATGCAGGCATGCGCTCTGCATGTAATTTACATATTTAAGGTAATGGGCCTATTGCAGATATGACAAATCCTTGAAAAATTTACCTTTCAAACCAAGTTTTCCTTTCCTTTGGGAAGGCCAGATAAAGCACAATAATATTCCACTTCTTCCTTGTCTCTCCCAATTTAGAGGAAACAGCACAGACCCAAAGTTGTTTCATTTCAAAGGTCACGTAATGAATTAAAAGCACAATACTTCTTATATTGGGGAAAGGGTTTTGCAATAACGTGCCACATATGTCAAGAACAATTTGAATGTTTTCCCTGGCTAGCTACAGCAAGCAAACATCTGGGTGGCGTTTTTTTTTTTTACCATGCCGTCCTGTGCAGACATAATCTTTAACCATTATTGGTTCTAAGCTTGCTTTGCTGTTTTAACCCCAATTAAAATTTAAATCAAAGTGGCAAAGATTAAATGAAACATTCTGTTTATTGCACAACATCACAAAAATGGGGCTTCATCCTATTAAGTGCCAGTTCCTTCAGTGCTTCCAGTTAAAAGGTTCCAGAATTAGGTCATCACCACAGTAGATCAAAAGATGAGAACATTTTCCAAAATCACATTAAGTTTATTTTTTAATTTTTAATGCAAAACATGGTCACTTGAATTCATAATTTCATATCCTTTTTGTTTTGATGTACAACATTGAAATGATTTAAACAGAGAGATAATGTAGAATAGCCAAACAAGCAAATAGAATCCTTTTTTAATGGCTCATTTTTAAGCATATTATAGGCATTCAGAGACAACATTTAATGCTAAGGAAACTAATTGCAGTTAAAATATCACAACTGGTTTACTGCAACAGGTTTCTGAAACAAAAAAGATATCCATCTCCTAACTTGTTTGAGAAAAGATTGATTAGAAATTAGTAGTATACAGAAAGAGCCAACATTTATCTTCATGCATGAAATTCTACTTCTTTCTTGTAGCCATCACATCAACAGTCAGGG